TTAAATTACTAGAGCAAGAAGATTTTTTTTTTTAAATGACCAAATGTTCTCTTGCTATTTCAAAAGGTGATAACTTACATATTCCTCTTTTCAACCCTGCAATAGTAATAATGTGCTTCTTTTCATGGATATCTGTGTCCCATCAAGTAATTATTATTATTTGATGAGTTAAAATTGGATTATGTATGTGTGGTAAAATATGTGTATTGTATGCACTTGGAAGTAGGAATATTGATTGACTCTTATCCGTGCTCTTGGCAGGGCGTCATTTCAGGTTTTTAAAAACATTTTTTTTGTTTCACTCCCCACCAAATCATTTCTAGAATTCATATTCCCCCTCCCCCTATTTTTAAATTTAATTTATAAATATTTTTAATATTACAAAAATTGAAATCTTCACTGAAAGAAAATTAAATGAAAGATTTTTAAAAATAAGAAATTTTTAAGGAAAAACAATAAGTAAATTTTCAAAACATATAATGAAAAACTGAAATTCAAGTACAAAATGAAGGGTTTTTCTAAAATATTTTAATTTCTTATTATTTAATTTATTATTCATTAATTAATAATATAAAACACAATGATAGATCCCTAATACAGTGTCAGGTGACTAATTTAATGAGAATCTTGCGCTTGATGCTTGCTGCACAGATATTTTTTTTGTTATAAGGCTCCAATTTAGATATCTTCAGGCTCAAGTCTCTCCGCTGTGTTATATCCAGCCGATTTCTTTTTTTAGCAGCCAATCACTTATGGCACTAAATCAACATTCAGCTAATCATGAAGATGGAAATGGTAACAACAGCACATTTGGATGAATTTGAATAATACCTTTCTGTTTCCTCATAAAGTCATGCCATGGCTCCTTTTATATTAAATAGATTTTTAACAGACTCATCGTTTTGCATTTCCGCGAGTTCTTCTTGATATTGAATATTTGAAATATCAGACAAATCCAATAACATTGGCTGCATCGTCCAAGTTGGAAAATTAATTTGTTTTCAATCACAAAATCTTTCTTCTAAATCAGCTTACAAAATTTTTAGATGATCGGCCATAACAAGTATAGCGGTATCAGTCACTTCACATTTTTTGAACAAATGAAACTTGTTCAACATTTTAGTTACAGACATATTTCTGACATAATTTATTAAATGCAAAGAAACCAAAATCTTCGCTTTAGCATCGACAAGAGTTGCATTTGCTCCTTGAGGTTGATTATTTAAATAAGAGATTAATTTCTCCATACAGATAAGAGTAGGTAACAAGATTTTCAAAGATTTAGCTATGAGTGAAGAAAATTCGTTAATAGAATCAAAGAGTACGCTTGACAGCTCCAGTATGAGCAGTAAACTGAGACTTTTTTATTTGAAACAAACCGCTTGTTACAAGCTAATAGAAACATTTGCTTGTAAATAGGACGTATTCGAAACTAGAATTACGACTTGTAAAAATGCAAAACTATTAAAGTGTTGAGGTTGTTATTCTACAGGCAGTTAACTCCAACTTTTGCTTAACATCCATTTCATTAGCTAGTTATCCATTAGGCCCTACTAGGAATAAGAAGTGAATAATGAAGCAACTAGTCAACTAGTAGCCAGAGACTAACCTCTCAACTAACCTTAACATGTTGTTGTTTTTTCATTCATTAACAAGCAATAAAAATTAAACACCGATAAAAGTAAACTAAACTGTTTTATCATTTAATTCAGTTTTTAATACATTTTAAATCAAATTAATGAGCAAAACCTTGGCCTTGGGAAATTATAAACCCTATTTGCCATCGTGGGAAAATACGAAACCCTTGTTGTGACCATGGGAAATTGGACCCCTAGTTTAGACCACTGACGTTTGTAGAGGCATCCAAAAACAGCCAGGAATATATGTTAAAATATATTATAAATTTAATGATTATAGATTACTGCACCCTACACAGCCCGGTCTAAAAGGAGAAGACTAACATTGCGCTCTCCCTTATTTCGCGACTGTAAACTTAGGTACGTCTAAAATTGTGGAGCCAACATAAACACGCCCAAAATCACAGGAACAAACTTAGGATAAGTACAAATGAAGTCTTCGTAACTTCACAATTTATGTTTATATATAAAGAATTATGATGCAAATTTTACTTTTTTAAAAGTTTGATATAATTTTATATTTAAAAGACATTACATTTCAATTAAATGTAATAAACAGAATTAACGTTGATGCTCCATGCTTTTTGCTACACTCTTTCCATTAAATAACAGCTTATCACATAATATTTAAACATGGACCATGAAGTATTGTCTTTATAACTTGTTAAATCAAAGATCAAAATAACTTTGAATTGTTCCCCTTCTATCAAAACATGTGTTAATACCCTTTAATTTTAATTCTTTGGTTTTTTGGTCCACTAAAATCTAAATGTTATCAACTATGACTATGAGACAAACATGGATGCAGTTTCCCTACAAACGGGAAAACCCGTTTTTTTTTAAAATTTTTATTCGCTACAATAATTAACGCACTGATTGAGCTAGATAACCAAAACTCCAATTTTTAGACGTTCCACAAATTTTAATGTCTCCGATTTCACAGTTAAAGCTGTCCTGCCTAGCAAGAGATCACCAACATGCCGCTTCGAGGCCCGATAGCTATGGGACTCTTCGGGCTTGAGGCGTGTCACGATCAGTGGTACTTCATTTTTTTAATTCTGGGTTCTTTTAAGTCCAGAATTATTATTCACACTTAAAATTTTTAAAAAGTTCTTTTGAATAAAAACGTTAAATTCAACGCAAAAATAATTTTACATTATTTCACATTTCCATTAAAACACTTCACACTTCCAATAAAACGTTCTTTTTCGTTTAAAAATATTTACTTCTTTTAAAGTCCTCCTCTACTGTGGAGGCCAGATTTGAACAATATCGTCTAGAATGGCGTTAAATACATTCAAACCATTTGCTTTGCCACGTCGACGCTAAATGAACCCACACATATAAGAATCGAGCATATGTCTGTGTGTGCCATTGTTTCTCTCTTTTGCCGATTTCCTCGCATGTTCGATACGTTAAGTATTGGTGTTCCGTTAACTTTGTGGTTGTTAGCACATCGTCTGACAGAAAATACAACACCGTGTTGTTGTAGAAAAAAGACACAACTGAATTCATTGTGAACTAATGCAGAAATTGTACAAGAATTCATGGTGTCTACAGAAGCAGTAGACTGGTATTTATTAAACCGGATATAACTTCATAAGAGTCTAGACATAAAAGAGCAGTCACGATAATTTTTGCGGTGAATTAAAATTGAAGTACCCGATCAGTATTTGACTGGTTTCTTTCATCAAGTTCTTCAAGACGCTCATGCGTCGTAATCACACAGAAATGAACATAGGTCCTTTTCCAATAGCAATGTAAACTATAATCCAGCATTATCTATCACGCTTTACACTGAATCAAACACGACATGTATAACGCAGCTGGCTATAGCCACTATAGGCCTAAGTAGGAGGAATAGAGCACGACCATTAGCAACAAAGTTCTTGCAAGCCCTCAGTTCTTGGTCAATTGTTTTACTAAATAGTGCGTTCAAAAAGAAATTTGACGAAAATTAGATCGTGTGAACTGAGCTTTAAGGGCTTGCAACTGGTTGTGTCGTAGTAATTACAAGGAAGAAAACTCTAGCTCTTTTTTTCCAAATAATCTTAGATGAATCAATATTCAACTGGTTTATTAAATTAAAGTTTTGACTCAAGTGTCATCTCTGAATAAATTTGAATATTTGAGGTTTAAAAAAAAATTGCTTTATCAAAATTTTTTTTCATTTTTAGTACACAAGAAAATATATACATATTTTTTTAATGCCATTTAACAACTCAGGTTAGGAGATAGTATGGTATATAATTAAAATAACTTTTTATCTTGTAAACTTTATGTGTCCTTATCTTAAGTCTGTCGACTGTGTTTTAGGTGTTACTGCTGTGGGACAAAAGAATCGTTAACATTCGATCGAGTTTATGAATTCGCCATTATAACGCCTTGATAGGTTCAAGCGCCTGTGGCACAGTTGACTACTAAATGTCAGAGCAGCATTAGTTTCCTCACTTTTATTAAAATTCCGTACATGTTCGTGATTTGCAATTACAGTATAACAATTAATAACATGAATCACACATGTTGTTATAATTATTTTAATAAATAGAATAAGAACACGCAGGCCAAACCTCTCCATCCATCTACAAATATTCAAATCACCCCACCGCCGGCCATCTATCCACATTATTTATTACAGATAACACGCTAACCTCCCTGACCATCTATCCACATTTATTACAGATAACACGCTAACCTCCCTGACCATCTATCCACATTTATTGCAGATAACACGCTAACCTCCCTGACCATCTATCCACATTATTTATTACAGATAACACGCTAACCTCCCTGACCATCTATCCACATTTATTACAGATAACACGCTAACCTCCCTGACCATCTATCCACATTTATTGCATATAACACGCTAACCTCCCTGACCATCTATCCACATTATTTATTACAGATAACACGCTAACCTCGCTGACCATCTATCCACATTATTTATTACAGATAACACGCTAACCTCCCTGACCATCTACCTACAATTATTACAAAGACTTTTTTTTTGTAGCATTTAAAAATTTAAGGAACCACGATCATCTAAGTTAAATCCTATTTAGAATTCAATATGATATTGAAGAACATGCTATCATCGGCGCCTGCAGGGGGGGGGGGGGGGGGGGCGGCGGTCCCCCCTGGATTGATTGGATAAAAAAATTTTAGACAAAAATTCATTAAAGTAAAGAGAAAATAAAGAGAAAGTAACTAAGCTGATGTCCTGTCCGTTCGTTCACCATACAAATACGTTACAGTAAATTAAAACTACATTAAAACATTACTAAAAATTTTTTGCCCCCCCCCCCCTAGAAAGTTAATCGATTTTTTTGCCATCCACTTTACGAACTTACGAAGTTTACTGCGGGCGCCCATGCATTCATTGTCAGGCACATTTTTTTCCAATGTAAATATCGGGAAACAGTTAACTTTTGATGAACTCGTTTAAAAGACAAAACTTCATTATTTGCTATCGGTTAAATATTCTTTTAACACATTTTTCTTTTACTTTGAAAATCCTCATTTAAGTAACGAATTCCTATCGCATCATCAAAACGACTCGGTTGTTGCAGAAAATACATTGTGGTTTTTTATTTTTCTAATAATGAACACAACATATAAAACACGTTGGCTGAACACAACATCCCTGGGTTCTTTTAAGTCCAGAAGTTAACAAACAACAGACACCACAATGCTGTTCATGTATTTCCTATTTTATACAACTTAGTGAGCAATTATTAATCCGATATTATTATAGAAATCCTATCAGAGACAAGTCTGCACCTGAGCAGTATAGTTGCACTAACCTCTTGTCTAATCAGGGAAAAAATAAATATTCTTTATTAACTATGTTCCTGATTTTCATTAGAAATGATCTGCAGTAAGTCATATTTATGGAATTCTGCAGTGTTACAATTATGTGCCCCAAATGAAGTCCACAAATGAACTTAATCATAACAAGGGAGTATGTCCTTTTATCCACTTGTACATTTAGTTTTTATGTCACTCATTTCTTTTTATTCTAAACATAGATCTATATATATATTTAAATTAAAATTTTACATAATTTAAAATTTAATTTACGTTTTAGCACAGTTACAAAATAATGTGTGTGATTTTATTTCTTCCAAATGAGATTAACGGGTCTAAATTTTCTTGCAAAATATAGAAGCTATGTATAAGACAACAAAATGAAAATATGTGAATATAAATTTAACCAACACCAACAGCATTGAACCTTCAATGAATAAATTTAAATTTAATAACTCTAATAAAAAGAGTTTGGAGTGATTTTTTATTTGGTTTAATTTTTTATCAACCCTGGGGGAGTGATAAAGAACATTATAACTTTAATACTTTAAATAATTTCAACATAACCACCAAATACATTAAACTACTAGTCTCCACCGGTGACATAGGAAGATGACCGGGGGGGGGGGGGGGGTGTTACTGACCCTCGTGGCACTTTTTTCTCTATAGAGGGATGGACAACATTTTCTGCCAAGTGTAACTAAATGAAAAGGATTATAAGACGCAAGGTATAATTTTATTTTACCATAACTAACTAAATACATTATGAGGTACTGGAACTCTTGAAAATATTGAATCAGTTCTATACAGTATATTTAGCCTAAATATTTTGACCCATCTATATAGGAGTTTTGGGAGGAAAAAAGGAGTGAAGCAAAAAATGACAAGCGGTCAGTTAGGGCCATTTTCTATTGATGACATGGGGTGACATGAAATTACTAGCTCCATGTAGACAGGTGTGACAGCTGGAATAATATAGGCCAACAATAACACAACAAAAAAGTATACTTTAGCACTCCTTGGCACAAAAAAAAAAAATTTGAAATATATTAAGAGAAATACAATATTAAGTTATTAACTTCCGGAAGATAAGACCCAGGAGGAAGCCATTTAAAGAAGGTAACCTTTAAAAAGATTATATTTAAATGCTACTATTGTTATTTTATGCGTCGCCCATCAAAGTGTCTTAATGGCACTTGAGCCGAAACTGGATATAACTCAAACTTTTGGGACCGAAGCAAAATTGGAGCATTTGGCAAGTTCAGCTTTTGTTAAAAAAGTGTGACGTTTCGAGGTGAGTTGGCACATATGCCAGGGACAGCGCTTTTTTAAGCTTCATTATTTCCAGGTTTTGCAATGCCAAAAAGCATTATACGTTTTCAAAGGGCAGGGGGGGGGGGGTGGCGCAAGCTCAAGTCCATCCCGGATGGCACAATGTCTTGCTACCCTAGTGATTTTCACTAATGAGTGTTTAGAAAACAATTTAATTTTTTTAAATTTTTATATGAGTATATACATATATACTTTAATCTCACAAGCTTAAAGTTATTTTTTTTTTTTTAGTTGGCACATTTGCCAGGGACAGGGCTTTTTTAAGCTTTATTTTTTCCAGGTTTTGGAAAGCCAAAAAGCATTATTCGGTTTCAAAGGGGAGGGGGGGGGGGTGGCGCAAGCTCAAGTCCATCCCGGATGGCACAATGTCTTGCTACCCTAGTGATTTTCACTAATGAGTGTTTAGAAAACAATTTAATTTTTTTAAATGTTTATATGAGTATATACATATATACTTTAATCTCACAAGCTTAAAGTTATTTTTTTTTTTTTAAATTACTCAGTCGAAACTTTAGACCAATACAGGGTTCCTATATAAGAAATTCATATATAATTTATTGGTTAAAAAAACAAAACTCCAAAATTGTTTATCTTTTATTGAATGCATGATTTCTATTTCTTCAAACTAATTTAATGTTTTTTTGTTATGTTATTTGTGTCACATTTAGAATGATTACAAATGGCACAATTAACATTCAGGCTTAAGGAAAAAAAAAAAATGAAAAACATCACAGTCACTAAGACAGCATTGACCATACAAAGCTGTCTTAAAAAACATGAATGTTAAATATTTTTGTTAATTTCTTTACTTCTTGGTCAGCAGCAGTGTCATAGCTGGGACAGCCTGCAGATGAATAATTTTTTATAGTTCATTTTCCTAAGTTAACTAATATTAAATTTTTACCAAATCAAACTATGAGAAGTCCAGTTAATTAAAAATGGTTAGATACTACTGCTAGTTATAAATATCTCAATAATGAAAGGAACTATGAGTTTTTTAATTTGGTTTCTATATTTTTTTTAAGCATGTCAAATGTAACCCTCACATTATTTTCATAGATGCAGATGCCATTTCAAAATGTGTACATTATTTTTTATTAAAACATTGTTTAGAATGGGACATAGTATATTTTAGAATGGTACATAGTATATTGTAGAATGGTACACAGTATATTCTAGAATGGTACATAGTATTATATTATTAGTATATTAATACTGTTTTCACCATTTCCAGTGGAGCAGTAGATCTAATTATAATTTAAAATTTTCTATAAACATTAAAACAGGGATTTGTTTTATATTTTAAAAAATAATTAACTGACATTTTCTTGCAACTTATGCAATGAAAATTATTTATCTTTTACTATTTAACTAAATGAACAAAGTGGGTTTTTAAAAATATATGACTAAACAAATAAACAGATAAAGCCTGAAACGATAAATCTTAACATTAATTTACCTTGAATAAATCTTCCACTAGGCCATAATCTGCTACTTGGAAAATTGGTGCCTCAGGATCCTTGTTGATGGCAACAATCACCTTGCTGTCCTTCATACCAGCTAGATGTTGAATGGCTCCAGATATACCCACTGCTATGTACAATTCCTATTAAGAAAAGTATTCACACTTGAACACATTCAAATTAATGGAAAACCATGTACAATGGAAAAGCAGGAATACAACTTGAGATTTCAAAGACAGAATGGTGTTTGATAAATGTCTAGTACGTTTTGCCTTGGAAAAGCCAATGTTGAGGCATAAAATCATTAATATTAACCAGAAGTAAAGTCCAGTAGATTTTCCAAGATTTTCTCCATTTATATTATCCATTTCACATGATGTTAAGTATACTATCCCCTTGCACAGAGCAAGAAAGTAAACTTATAGAATGAAGGCAGATTCCAGATTATCTTCACCAAAAATGTGTTGGTTTTTTTTAAGCATAAGGTCAAAATTTAAATGGTGATGAAAAACACATTTTATGATTACATTTAATACAATTTCCACTGAGAATGAATTTTAACAGCAATGTTGAAGATGTTCTGTTAAAAGAATGTGTACATTTTACATATGTTATTTAGAGATCATCACTTACAGGTGCAACAATCTTTCCAGTTTGTCCAACTTGTAAATCATTAGCAACAAATCCAGCATCAACTGCTGCACGTGACGCTCCAACTGCTGCATTCAGTTTATCAGCAAGCTCATATAAAATCTTGAAGTTTTCACCATTCTTCATGCCCCTGCCTAGAGAATACAAAGATATCATGACAACTTTCAATACTTGTTACATCTCTAACAAACCCTTTTTTTTTACCAAAAAGGTAAGATATAAAAATAAAATAAAAATATATATCCATTTATTCTTTTCCAAAAATGGCATTTCATTTTTAATCTTTCAGCTCTTGTACAACAAATGCTGTAGTACAAAGTCTAGAAAATTTTCTTTATCTCTGTCTAATGGCTTATAAAAAGGCAGTAGTGCAATTGCTCATTTTCTCATACCAAAGTCAAAGACATACAACATGTCTAATTTTATAAGAGCTCAATCAGCTTAAAATCTCTGACCCATTAACTAAAAGGAACATAATTTTATAGTGTTAGTGAATACAAATTAAAAGTTAAAAGTTTAAAATCATTCAATATTTAAGTTTGGACAAAAAATATTCATGATCATATATTTTTTCCTCTAGTATGTTTTTCATAATTTTTTTAATTCTCATTAAAAGTATTTTTATTTGAAACACGGCCAATACATTTGTTAGAACCTTGGTGAATTGCAGAAAGATATTAAACTTTCCCAGTCATCCAAGGGAAGGAATTAAACTGAAAATGGTGGTTGAGTGGAGGAGGGTTCAATTAAAAAAACAAGTATTAGCTGAAGAGTAAATGAGAAATTTCCTTTTTTACTATACACAGGATTGACTTGTTTCATAACAAAGATGTATGTAATCACTACATTACATGATATGTCAGTAATATTTAAATAATCACAAACCAAAATTATTTTAAATAACATCATTACGTCTATCTATGTTTTGTAATACTGTAGATGCCAAACAGTGTCAATGGGCTTACAAAAAAATAGAAAGATGCCAAAAGGCATCTTATCAATGCAAAATTTGTTTTAAAAATACCTCCAGAAACAACAGCCTTTGCACTTGTCAATTCAGGACGGTCACTCTTGCTCAACTCTTGGCCGAGGAACTCGCTTGTGCTGCTCTTCTCAACTGGTATTGAAACTTGAAGAGTATACAAAATATAATTATAATCATCTTGTAAAGTTTCAACAAGTGCTTTAACTTAGAAAATAGAAAAATATATACAGAGGTATATATCATCATTTTTTGCTAACTAGTTTCTTGTGTAGAGAAGCTCATATATATATATATATATATNATAGATATATATATATAGAAATAGATATATATATATAGAAATAGATATATATATATATATATATAGATAGATATATATAGATATAGATATATAGATATATATTTAGGCACTTGTACAATAGAATGGTAAAATTCTGACCCACGGTTCAATGAAATATAAATTTATTTAAATAAGTTTAAAGGTTTTTACTTAACAAAGTAAAACATTTTCAAGTAACAAAGGTGTAAGGTTTCTCTCTTCATACATATTGATATTATCAACTTATTTTTTGTTCTATTTCAGCATATAAAAATAATTAATTATTGAAATATAGTAAGATCAAATATAGTTTCAAATGGCTACATTTAAAAAAAACAAAAAAACTACATTGTTAGGTAAATCCAATTATCATTCCATTACTTTTCATATTATAATAAATTAAGTCTGTAATTTACAGTTTAAAAGTGAATAAAATTTTTAAAGTTTTACAGCAAAGTCACTAACGTTTTTCAGAAGCAGCACTTCCTCCAAGAGCAGCAGCTTCAAATGAAGTGCCTCGGACTGTGATTATCTTCACTGATTCACTTGATTTCAAAGTTTGTATGGCATTACCTGTGAAAGAGATATTTATTTTGGAATGCAGCAGTGAAGCAGAAAAGAAATTCACCTTTTTTTAAAAAGTATTTAAAATTGACTTGAAACTTATATAAAAATATAATATTGACTTTATGAATCCCATGGCAAATCATGCAGATGCACACAAACCATGTTGATCAATACTAAGAAGACAATAGTGATCATTCAAATTTTTAAGGTGCTGGTAACCCATAATTTTCTATTTTTCCATGACTGAAATTCGACACAGTGGAAAGCCAACCTATCAGTTTCAAGCAAAATTTGTCTGAAGACAAAAAGAGTGACAAAATCTTTTCTTAAATTGTTTAAGTCAAAGTGATCATTTAAAAATTCAAATGCCCATTTGTAGTTGTTGAAATCAATTATTATTTTTAATTACATTTCATATCTTAACCTGAAGACTGATTTTTTTAAAAGTATTCCAATTTTAAATTTAAACTTGAACAGCATTTTATTTTTTGTGGTGTATGCCTTCTAAGATGGGTAAAATGGTAAATTGACAAACACTGTCTTAGATTATAAAAAATCTTAAACTTATTTTCTGGACAACTTATACAATATGTAAAAATTAACACAAATGATCTTTGAAAGCTGATCTGATCCCAATTTTACCTGCATATATTGTTCTAACAAAGGTACTCTCATCTTGCACACCCGTAATTTCTGAAATTGGTGATACATCAAGTTTTGCAGCTAACCTTGGTAAAATATTCTAAAAATAAAAAGAATTGCACAAACATTTATGTATCTTATATGTGAGCTACATAAAATTATGACTAAACTAATAACCTTAGTTATTATTTTCCAAAATTTATTAAAATTAAGGCAAAAATTATGCGTTTAGCGATCTCTTAACTTTTAATTTTAGATGATTAATAAGTATTTCTACAAAGTTAATATGATGTGTCCTGCCAACCTAGAGCTCATCTCAGATAAAATTTATTACACTTTTCTTTCATTCAAAGCTTAAGCATTATCATTCTTTAGTACAGATTGTATTCTTCTGAGCATATGCTGGTCATGATATAAGCTGCACCCTTAAAGTTTGGTCTTGACATATACCAGTATTTTAAAAAAAAAAACATTTTTTTTTGCAAGGCTACACCACTTTATTTTAGAAATTTTTGTTTGATATTCACCTAAAATTTCAATATTCATATCCCCTGTTCCATGAGTCAATCACAGTCTTGGGTAGTCATTCAAGGTACTACTATATTTCTTTTCAATATATATGAATTTTTGCAGCTATTCTTTTTAGAATTATGTGACCATGGTCTTCACGTGACCACGGTGTTCAAATGACTATGGTGTTCATGTGACCAGAGGTTTTGATTGTATTTTATTGTAGATTTTATTTTACTTTTTAAGTTTAGAGTTCATTCTTTTGTTTATTGTTGTAAATTTTGTAGTAGCCCCCTACCCAACTACAGCCTAACCTTTATCAAATAAAAACTCTTTGACAGCAATAATTCTTTTCATGATCTCTTGTAGAGTCATTAGACCTTGGGCATGTGGGGAACACACTCACAACTTACGTCTATGTTTGTTTGCTTTAGTGGTTTGGGGGGAAGGGATGGGAGAAGGGGTTTCCCAAATGATGGTAAATCTCTGTCATGATGATAAAGCATTAATAACTAGCCATTAATACCTAATGTACATGTATTTGTGAAGCATTAATAACTAGCCATTAATACCCAATGTACATGTATTTGTGAAGCATTGATAACTAGCCATTAATACCCAATTTACATGCATTTGTGAAGCATTAATAACTAGCCATTAATACCCAATGTACATGTATTTGTGAAGCATTAATAACTAGCCATTAATACCCAATGTACATGTATTTGTGAAGCATTAATAACTAGCCATTAATACCCATTGTACATGTATTTGTGAAGCATTAATAACTAGCCATTAATACCCAATGTCAATGTACATGTATTTGTGAAGTATTAATAACTAGCCATTAATACCCAATGTACATGTATTTGTGAAGCATTAATAACTAGCCATTAATACCCAATGTACATGTATTTGTGATGGTTTCCGGAATTTATTTTTGAGTGAAAATTTTATTTTATAAAGAATTGATAGGCCAAATTTGGGGCTGGGAACAGATTAAATCATTTTTAGTTAATTCCTATTTAAAAAAAATGTGTTTGATTGTCGTCCTTCCCTCCAAAATGGATTAATGATGAAGATTGAGGGTCCACTGTATTTGGAACAATTAAGTTTTTCAGCTGATCTTTGTAGAATATTCATGAAATATTAGAATCATTTTAAGTATAAAATATCATACAAGCAAACTACTCCACATATGAAGAAATCTAAAAAAAAAAAAAAATCACAATTGAAAAAGTGCAATTCTATACCTTCCCAGTTGCTGTTGCCGGAGCCAAAATGTGTGTAAATTTAAACTGCTTTTGTGTAGCTTCTAAAAATGGCGTGACAGTCTCTGAGAATATTAAAAAATAAATTACACAAATACTGATACCAAGGTAAATAAAATCATGTGTCGATTTTCAAAAATAATGCTATGAAAAAATTTATTCTTTAAAATTGACAAAACAATTTCTAATAACTTTTGCAATATTACAAAAATTTAGTAAAATCGTAAGTACCAGGTAAAAATCCTTTGAAGGCCTCACTTTCTGCAACAAGTACTTTAGAAACACCTTTAATTTTGCTTACTTCTTCTGCCACCTAGAATTTAAATGAAAAAAAACATTAATGACCAAGCACTTTGAGAAAAAAGAAGAATTAACATTACTTTTTTGGCATTATAAAATAAACAGTATGGGTGTTAAAATGTTGTACAACTGAAAGTAATTATCTTTTCACTGTCACTCAATTTAAAAAGAGGATTCTATTTGTGTCCCATTTTATGAAGTAGCTTATTTTAAATTTAAAATTTAAAGAAACTAAGAAAACATGTTTATTTAAATGTCTCTCTTTGCCTAATAGCTTATGATCTTTGGACCCATCTGATCTAATCTTAAAATCCAATGATAAGCAAAAAACCTTTGAGCAATTGGTGCCATAAACAAGACAAGAGATATCTCCTCCAATTTTGGATGCTGCTGTGACAGCATTGAGTGTACATGGAGTAAGTTTCTCATTGTTGTGTTCAGCAATCACTAACGTACTCTTGAGCCGCTTCAGCAGGCCTAGCTAAAAATTAGATAGTAAAAAAATTAGTGTATAAATGTAAGATAAAAGCAGTTTCCTGTGTCATTTTGTATGATAATCAAATGCATTTTTTTTTGTTAATGGGTAGATATTTTATAGTTGTGAAGTACTAACAAGAAGTGTAAAGTTGTTCCATCTATAATTACGCAACATACTAACCATACATATTTTACTGGGGCTTTGAGCTTTAGCTCTTTAAGGCCCAGCGAATACTTTAGAGGTAAGCATATCCTATTGGAATTTGAGATATGGTTGGAAGTGGTTGGAAGGCAGTAGAGGATGACGAGGGAACTATCACTCATAATAAATTATTTTTACAGGTCTCTATTCATAATTTATTATTTATTCATTAATAATGGTGAAGTGAGAAGTATAGCCAACTATTGCTTTTGTAGTCTTCATTTTTTAATGTTTATTTCTTGCCTTTTCTACTTCTATTCCAAGGATTCAATTATAATATAGGAATATGTCTAGGCAAAATTATATAGCATAATTCACTATATTATTTTGTTACGTACTGCTATCTATATGGAGAAATTAATTCCCTTATTAAAGTGTTTGGCTTGTTCTACAACAGTACATAACAAAAGACGATACCAAATGATAAATACAATAACACTCAAACCAGGGCTAATTACAATTAATAAGTTTTATTAAGTTACTAACAAATTACAAAATAAAAGAAATATAATTAAAATCATTGACTTACAGAATACTATTTTACTTGTACCAGTACAATTTTTCATAAAAACCCAATGTGCAAAAAGGTACAATGACAAATAGGAATCTACACATACGCAGTAAACAAAACTCTAATAGCAAGAATAACACTCTCTCCAAATATCTTCTGATAAATGCTAGCTCAAAAATCTCTTGTGTCCCCTTTTTATAGTCTGTTTTACTGATATATCTAGAGCCGCCTTACGCATTGTTTTCTTGTCCAGTTTTCTCCAGATTCTTCTAAAGAATTCTAATGAACACAGACTATTAATTTTATTTAGTTGTAAACAAGGTCAAGAGACTATTTTTACCTAGTCACACATTAACTGCAGTCTCGAGCTTGGTGTCTGCTAGAGTTCATGACATAAACATGTCATTTACATAACAATAGAATAGGTAGGTCTTTATGAGGCTACATCATTCTTAATTGACAAAGTTGTTCATTTTGCAATTGGTTAAGACTTAACTTTATAACAACTCAAAACAAGCAAATAATTAAGCTTTTAAAGTTAATAACCAATAGGCTTAAAAATACTTAATACTTCTAAAGAGGTCTAGTTAAGATAGGACTGAGAGGTCAATTTATTTAGCTCATTACTTTTTTGCCTAAATAAAAGTAAAGTAGCTGGTGAAGTATGCCTAAGTATAACTTGAAGGATATGGTTGCCTATTCCTTTTTCCAAAATTTTGGACACCTTCGCATCCTTCCCTCCCTGGGGCTACTGCAAAAGGAAAGGTACACAAATCATATAGATAGGGAGTATGTTTTGTCCATTATTTATTGACATCCCCCCCACTGAAATATCAGATCCTAACTGGTTCAAAACCCTATTATCATTAATATTGTTAGTAGGACTGTTCTACAAAAAGTGTTTCCAAAACGGTTTTGCATGGCTCAGTCATTTTTATACTTCTCTTTCATGATCCATTACAATTTTTATAGCTTATTCTGACCTATAGATAGCATTAAACAGATTATGAGTGTTCATAAAGTTTTGATAGATTTCAATAAAAAGCATATTTGCTTTCAAAAATTATCCAAGGTAATAACCCTTGCCACTAATTTTTCCCTTACCTATCAGTGTAATTTGCACGGCATTTTGCTTTCCCATTCTAACAGACATTTTTAAGAATAAAACAACCCAACCTCTGATGGTCTAAATATCATTCCAATGATGCCTGAACATTTAACAGAAATATAACAAACCCCCTTTGTAATTGCAGTGTTGCTCAACAGAGTGATATGATGTCCCCATTTTCTAGTGTCATGATTGGATGGGATTATTCTAACAATAAAATATACCAATATACCTCAATTTACCTCCCAAATCTTCTTTACCATCTTGCATTGACATATACCAAAATAAAATAGATCACATTTGATATTTCACCCTCTCACGTCGGGTGCTACATAATATAAAAAAGTGAGCTTATTTCTCCTCACCCCCAACCCAAAATAGGCACTCTGTCAATCAACACTTACAAGCACCAGTGGTAGAACAAATGCAGGATGCTTTAGTTGTTCATATTTTGCAGCCTTGTCATTGTTTAGGGCATATTAGCTGCTAACAATGAGATAGCAAAACATTTGCCTCACTATTCTTGATTTATATTTCAAGGCTAATTACTGTTTTTAGGGTTTCATAACCTATGTCAAAGGGAAACTAAACAACAACATCCAAAAAAAATATCTAGCTAATACTAGCTTTCCAGATTTTTTTCGCAACCTGGTATTTTTGCTTCTGTGGCCTGCCATTTGAGGAAGCTGCTATAAATATAATATAGATGGATCTAATGTACTTTTTTAATTTTTAAGAAAAAGGCACCAATGAAGATTGATTGGGGCATTGGCCTAATTTAACTTAAACTTAACTAAATGTAGTTGACTGTAAGCCCAAGCCTTAAGTTAAAAATGAAAATGACCAAAATAAATGTGTCTTAAGTCTTAATAATAAATAGTCTTAAAATTTAAGTTAAATTTAACCAGAGTTATAAAGTTATAGTAGTTATAGTATAGGCATGCAAGCTGATTGAATTATGAGACTTTGGCACGCTAAACAATCATTTATCGTATGAACTCTAAACTTTTTTCAATTAGGCCAATCATGGTATCAATCAGTTACTGTTACAGTACAGTGAGTAACAATGTAGGCTATATTATTTTTTTACTGAGTGGGAATCTGATATTGATATTATTAGATTCTAGATCTATCATAAATTTGCTGGCGTTATTAACGGTTATTATGTAATCTTTTACTGAATATCTTTTCCTTTTTATGTCTTTTCGTTATTACATTAAAACTTAAAAACAAATTATGACGTACCGAACGTGCAAACGTTTGTCTTGCTCCGATGATCATTTTGTGAACTTTGATCGGTAAACAAAGGTCAATACATATTTTCAGGACTTTATTATGGTCTAGGGGAACTCACTCTAAATATTAAACTTAAGTTGGTACTTCGTAAACGACTATCGTGTACTTATGGCCCATTCTTAAAAGTTTACGACAATTAACATTTTTTTTTTTACTTGGGTTGTTGTAGAAAATCTCAATGGTTCAGAAATGAAGTTCCCTTCACATTCACATCAGACGCGAAAATGCCGGCGCTCGAACCTATGAGTTTATTTTTTAATTCTTAAAAATTACCATATACATAAATTAAATGATTAAATGCAGTATAAAATCAATTAGAAAAAAATTATCTTGCGAACTGGTAGCCCCAAAGCCAGCGGCCCACATAATTTTTAAATTTAATTCTTTTTTTTTTTTTACATCAGATGAAAATTTTTAAAAAAAGAAGATTATTAGTAAGTTATGGCATCTAAACTGTCTAAAATGAAGTAGCTCTCGTAATATTTTAATTTCTTTAGTTTAACTTGGTTTTTTCTTCGAAAGTCCTTATTAAAAGGGACAGGATTCCATTTACTGTTCCAAAGGATGCCTTTCTTGTTCGATGCTAGTTTGGGAAATTGAGAGAAATAACATTATATATGTAGCGAAAGCCTAATACATTAAAATGGAAAGCAAGACGAAGCCGTGAAAAACTTCAGAAATTTAAGATATTGTAAACATAGAGTCATAGAGGAAGAGGCGCTCAAAGAAGTTCAACCATGAATAACAACATGACTATCGTTCGATATCACTCACCAGCGTGGTATGCCATATCTCTGAAGTTTGTGCAGAAGCAAAAGTTTGCTTGCTGTTCTCCAGATTAGTCATCAAATTTTCTACAAATTCAAGGAGCTGGGTCTCACATGATCTATTGACTCGGAAGCCATGTTGACAGTAATTGAGTATATTTTGGCTTTCAAGATGCTTCATGACTGTGCTTACGATTATGTGCTCTAACAGTTTGCAGACCACGCTGGTGAGTGATATCGGACGATAGTTGGCAGGGTCGGAATGCTCCCCTTTTTTGTAAATTGGAGTGACATGCGCTGTTCTCCAGTCTGCTGGAACACTTCCTGTGCATAGTGACAATTGGAAGAGGATTGTCAGTGCAGGAGCAATTTCTTTGGCTAATTCTTTAAGCACTCGTGGTTTGATGTTGTCAGGACCACATGCTTTGTAAGGGTTAATGGTATTGAGGAGGGCAAACACACCTTGTTCTGATATCTGGATATTTTTCATGGATCTATCATGCGAATGGAAATTTCATTCAATACAATGAACTTAAGTTAATTAGCTTCCTTCAAAATGTGTTCACTATGTGTTGGCTACTCTCATACTGAATTATTACACATGAAAAGCACCATAAAAACTTCATAACATCAAACATATTTTTAACACAATGTAATGTAATTTTTTTTTTACATACCTCTTAATATTATAATGTAAGAAAAGTTAATATTCTTTTATTGATCCAAATAAATGGAGATGTGTTTTGATTACATTTATCATTTTCAGGACATGGATAAGGATTAATATTTTACCAAGACAACATTTTAAACTAGAACTTAGAACAATTTAAACATAAGAAATCTTTAATATTTCTCAAGTGAACAATCAGTCATCACATACTGTCAAACGCCTGTGTGTACTAGAATGGTTAATACATCAAGTTCTTTTACATGTTGTAATACATCATACTAGCACAGAATCAACTCAAGTCATTTTTCATAATAAATACGGTACAGCTTTAATATATATAATTTAATTCACAGACTGTTAAGTTCATATACACATGTATAACGCAACTTGCTATCAGAGAGAAATATAACGCAAGGTTCCTTTCATGACTTCCCACTAATCTACACGTACATCATAAAACAGACTAGACAATATGTCATAATAAGCATTAAAATATATCCCCAAGTAAGCGCAGGAAGAGCGTTTACTAATTAATCTCTCAAAAACATACTGCTCGTAATCAAACATAATATCCAGTCGCAACAATTATTAGTGAACTCCCATGCTCGACACGACACGTACCATAAAACCTCACTCCCTTATATGTGTGGTGTTATTTTTTTTCCTGATGCAGCAACTTGTTTTATGTGATAAAATTTGTATATTAGGCATTGCCACAATAAACACCTTCTACATTTGAAATACCATGTTATTTCCATTTTGCTCAGTGTCCACATTGAAAATGTTCTCCTTTGAGTACTTCGACTTTTCCCCGGCCATAATTTGAGACAGTGAACATTAAAAAAAATGTCATGTAAAAAGTTTATGAAGTGTAATACAGTGAATCTTAACGAACCTAAATAGGTCAAGGGCACATCACTCAAATAAGTACTGGAATAATGATGATATATGCTTGAATATAATGGATACATAATGCATTTAACAAATAAATACTTTCTGGTTTGAAATAGCTAAGCACTAATTTATGATTATAATAAGACAAATGAAACAAAAACTGAAATAGGCCAACTTAAAACATACCTATTAACCTGTAATTAGCTTCATTAATTAAGGAGTCAGCCACTATGTGTTTATTCAGCCAAATAAAAAAAGCATGTGCTTCCAGAAATTATCTAATGGGATCTTACGCCACTAGTCTTAATGGATTTTACGATTCACAACAATAGTTGTCATTGAGAGAGCTAGCAGTTTTCTAGACTGAACTAAAAATGGTAAATCTGCTAAATTTCAGTCCTAGATATATATTATAATATTACTTTTGTGTCAGTACTCAAGGCATAGCTACATAAATAGTTCAATATATGAAACCATAATTCTAAATACATTTATCCATTCCATTCTTGAAATTTAATTTAAAATGATGTGTTTTTAAATTAAAACTTAAGAAACATTAAAACATTTGAAATAAATAAATCTAAAAATAAAGTAAAATATTGACATTTAACTGATATATTTAGCGTCTCCGATTAACTTCTACAGTTAAAAGATTTTTCTAAAGGGCAAACAGAAATTACTTAAAAACTTTTCCCAAATTGTCTCACTTGTCAGTTTTTAATATGGGAAATGTGTTTCCATTGGTAAAGTAAATAAACTTGAAGCATGAATATTCCACTTCAGATCAGTGCATTATTGCAAATTAACTTCAACTTTTGTCTCTTTTACAAATGACGTTTTTTTAAATTTAACCATAAATATCACCAGCCTCTGACAGGCTTCCAGGTTGCCACAACGTCATCACCATTATGTATCTGGTATTCTGCATGTAAAGAACTTGTGCAGCAACTCTAACAAAATAATTTTTAAAAAATTATGTGATTATTTCAGTAGAAGTATGATTTGATTGTCAATTAATTTAAAATAATTTTTAATTCATTATAAAAAGCAACAAGAGTACTGGCTTGCAACAAACAATAATTTTTATGATGCAATTTTTAAAAACATTATAATTATAACATGCTTGTCTTGAAAGTTGTCACTAAGATTAAATAATTATGCTTTGGTGTAGGCTGCACATACAATTTGATCTTTTAAAAAAACTAAATCCCTGAGAAAAAATGCGTATAATTCAAAAAAACCTTTATAAGAAACAATGTCTAAAAGTGTGTCCAGATTAGTAAACAAACTATTATTAACTTTTGAACTTACATGAAATGGAATGATGTAAAGTATCATTCCCACTGGATAAAGTCTGCAATCTAGTTCTCCTTCTTTGGCAACAATTTTACCAATTTCTTGGGTCATATCCAGGAGCCTGAATGAAAATGGGGAAATATTTTACCCTGATTTTTGTTACGCAGTCCCTTTCTAATTAATTAGAATGAGATGATTTTGTTATTTAAACTGAAAAAAGATTGTGCATTTAATTAATATTATTAATCAGTTACTTTTGCCTACTGTTTAAAAAGAATGAGATTGATTAAGAGGCGTCACAGGGGTTGATGTTGCCCATTACGGTAAACTCATGGTGCCAGTGCCCCCCCTCCCCCCCACCCTTCCTTCCGCACTCCCACCTCTCAGACCTGCACCAAGTAACCTAATTATTAACCTGATCATACTGAATGGCCTACAGTATAGTATTTTGTGTAAATTAAGTCCTAAAGCAACAAAAGACATAATCGTATAAGAAATAAGAGAATTTTAGGTACCACTAACTATTTAAAAATGAAACAAAATTACTTTTTATGGAGACTTTAAAATTTACAGTTAAAGCTTTACTTTCCCTGACCTCAAAGATGCCAATCTGCCAAAACCTTCCTCTAAATGAACATTCTTCACATTATTAATTTCAAATTACAAAATCTCAAGACCAGAAAGGTCCTCTCACATAAAGCCACAAATACACACATCGTGAGAAATAACTGTATGAATAATGGGAGGAGAGATTCTGATAAATCCCATTCAGATATGAATTTGAAAACTTCAAAAATTGACAAGATAAATAACTGCTGCCTTCAGACCCTGCCAACTATCGTCCTATATCCCTCACTAGCGTCGTCTGCAAACTGTTGGAGCACATAATCGTAAGCTCTGTCATGAAGCATCTTGAAAGCCAACATATACTCAATGACTGTCAACATGGCTTCCGAGTCAATAGGTCATGTGAGACCCAGCTTCTCGAATTTGTAGAAGACTTGATGACCAATCTGGAGAACCACAAGCAGACTGACGTGCTAGTAATGGACTTCGCAAAA